GTTCACGTTCGTGAGGGGAAGTTTACTTGGCATCTGAAAATACCTTTCCTCAAAAGTATTTTGAATCTGAAAAGAGCTTCACTGAGTGACAAGTAGTGGAGCTCAGCAGACAGTTTCACTTTCACTTTCACCCGAGAGCCTGCAGGAGTCATGGGCGGGGGGTGTGTGTGTGTGTGTTGGGGGGGGTCCTCTGCCATGAGGAAGTTCGGCTTAAAGACACGTCCCAGGGGCGTTTCTGGTACCAAAAGGTGTTTCTGGTCCCCACCTGTCGTTTTGCTCCTCAGCATGGCTTCCTAAAAACACTGCAGGATTTCTCAAACATGCATGAATGAGTCAAAGCAAGGCTTTGGGCATGTTTTTTATGAGAGTATAACATGATATAAAACTCAAAAAAATTTATTTGACATGATATTGCCCCTTTAAAAAGTCTGACCTGCCGATGTTAATTTTTAAATAGCTGACACTGTCAGGTGTTATAAGGTCACAAAACACCTTCAATGTTCCAAACTTTATTTTATTGAAACATGCTGAACAGTATGCTTGAAACAATACAAACCTGTTCTGATTGGACATTAGTGTTCACAGCAGAGCAAAAGGGGACAGTGACTGATTTTCAGACCTTTTTAGACATAGATGAGAAACCCATCTATTCTACCAAATTTATCAAAGTATCGACTGATCTCCCAAAATGAAGGAAATCGTCCTGCCGAGTTGGGTCTTAGTTTAAATGTTTGGCATGAAAGGTTCTGGGAAATGTGCCTTTTTATTAATTTGGGATTGGTCTGTTTTCAGGATGAAGTCCTTCTATCTGAGAGCAGCCACTTCACCTTTGTGTATGACGACCCCGAATATTCCCTCGTAGTCCTGAACGCTCAGCCCGAACACTCGGGAGTGTACACCTGCACTGCGAAGAACGTGGCCGGCTCCGTCTCCTGCAAGGCTGAGCTCACAGTCCACACAGGTAGACATCAACAGCACCGAGAAATACCATATGCACGCACCACGGCTTAGGCTGACGCAGTAATTACAGTTTTGTAAAACTGGTTGAAAAGTTTCCCCCTAAAGCTGCACCATATGTGCAGATTTTCAACTACTGTCTGAAACCATCTGTCACTCTGGCTGGCGTGTGTTTACACTCAAACACACACTGCATAAAACAATCTCTATTGGTGCTTCATGCAGAGCAAAAGGAAGCAGCAGAGCCAGTGGAGGACGAGGGCAGCATTCTGAGGAAGATGAGGCGTTTGACGGATTACTATGAAATCCACAAAGAGATAGGGAGGTGAGTGTGTGTGTGAAGCGTCGCCTCCCCTCAGACACAGCGACGATGCTAGTGGCTGCTTGAGCGCCCGGGGCTCGAGCTGAGAGAGAGGTGACGAGGCGGGAGGGGAACGGAGGGAGGCTGCACCTACTTAACAACGGCAGACAGAAACGGAGATGAGTCACCGGCCTCGGCGGAGGGAGCGCATTAGCTGGCAGATGATTTGTTTTGCTCTGTCTCAGCGGAGACGAGCGTTCGCGGTGAATTGCGGAGCCGCTCTAGTTGAAAGGAACAGGCGGGCGATGAAATGTGTTTTTCAGCCGAAGGAACGAGCAACAGAATGAAACTCAGATTGATTTATTCTCCCGCACAAAACGGAAAACAGCCCACTGATGAAAGTTCATTAGAAATGACAATTTTCATTTTCTCTCCACAAAGAATAGTTTCCTACTAAATTAGAGAGAAAGGGAAGACAACCATCAAGAGAGATTGTCTAAGAAGGTTTCTGCACTTTTTCTAGATCCAGCAAATAAAAGCTCTGATTTTTTTTCCATATTAACCCACACTTTAAGTGTTTTACTGTTTTCTGACATTATAACTTTATATGTAGTTTAAGAAAATAGAAAATGCCTGTCAGAAAACAGCACTTTATAGCTATAGATTCAACATAGTTTTGGCCACTAATTCTCATTGATTCTCAGCAAATAAAACAGGCTGTTTTGTTTCAAAGTAGTACAAGTAGTCAAATTTTGTACCATGTAATGTTTCTATTTTGTCTGCATTTAAGTAGGAGTTTATCGACACTGAATGGCAATAAAAAATCAGTCATACACTAATATTTGTTGGAACACCTTTAGCTTCATATTCATTGTGGCATCGTTTCCACAAGCTTCTGCAATCTCAATACTTTTTTTTTTGTCCAGAGTTGTGTTCATTTTTCACCAAGGTGATTTGGACCATTGCATAAAGTCTTCTCCAGCACAACCCAAAGATTCTCAATGGAGTTCAGGTCTGGACTCTGATGTCTTATGCGCCCTGAATTACTCTTTCACAGTTTGAACCCAATGAATCCTTGCATCATCATATTGTGGGCAGCACAGTGGTCAGTATGTAGAGCCCTGTGATGGACTTGCGACCTGTCCAGGGTGTGCCCCACCCCTCAAACAGTGACTGCTGGACATGAAGTGGGTAAAAGATAATGGATGGATTGTCATGTTGGAACATCCCTGTGTCATCAGGGAAGAGAAAACCCATCCATGGAATAACATGGTCAGTATATTCAGGTAGTCAGCAGATGCCATTCTTTGGGATGAACCTAGACCTGACCAACTGCAGCAAACTCACATCACAGCACTATACCCACAGTGCACAGTAGGCACTAGACATGATGGGTTCATCACTTCAGACACCTCTGTGATGCACCCCTCACTCTGGAACAGGGTCAGTCTGGACTCCTCAGACCAACAGACCTTCTTCAGAGTCCAATCTTTATGCTCCATAGCAAACTGGAATAGTTTTTCCCCCAATTATGGGCCCTAAATACTCCATCCAAAGCAGTGAAATTTGCTTTCATCGATGCCGTTGTGTGATGAAAATTGCGTCATTTGCTCACGGAGCAGCTTTATCTACCCCCTCTCAACACAAGGTCCCGGGCGGAACCTTTTCCCAAAGGGGAATGTGCCAAGTATTGTGAACTGGTCAGAAGTTTGTGGGTGTATTTGTTTATGCAGGAAAGCCTTCAGGCAGCAATGGTGGCATTTTGCTTCCATTATTTTGCTTCTATATATCGGCTGTTGTGTGTCCAAACAACATGGAGAGTTTTGAGGAGCACTCTTTTAGACACTATAGCACGGACGTCGTGCCTGAAGAAATCCATCTAGCAAAAAGTGTGGCGCTCTATCGTGACAAATTTGTGGCCAAACTGCAGATATCAGAGTTGAGACTTCAGCAAAAAGACAATACACGCAGTGACGTGTACAGCTGCAGGAGTTTCCCTGGAGCTCTGCTTTGTGTGTCTCATGAGCCATGAAAGGTTTGCGCTAAAACAAACACTGGGCAACCACATGACCAGGAGTCAGTTGTTTGGCTTTGGATTGGGTGTTGGGCCCTTTAGCTTCACTGATAAGTGGTTTTCTTGTGGTTTCACAGCTGTTTACTTCCTTTTGTACACAGCAAAAATGGTAGAGTTAACTTAACACCCAGTTGTTAATTTCAGCACCAACAAAGTGTCTTTATGTGTCCACACTCACTGTTGTTAAAATAACATTTGTGAAAGTGTTAAATTTTAACACCCATTTTTTGTTAATATCACACCAACTAAGGTAAAATGGAGTCACCCTTCACTGACCAGGAAGTACCACTCACTCATGGTGTCGATTTGTGGCCAAAAACACAAACTTAAACTTGAACAACTTTATCAAACTGAACAAGAAAACTAACCAGAACAACTCACTTTTACTCTCATGAACGTCTTTAATTAGTCCATGGGCTAGGGTGGTTCACCATGCTCCCCCCCCACAAACTACTGAATTTCTCTGGTATATTCATGTATCCCAGGGTCCAGTCTTTCAGAAAATGCATGTTAACAGAAAAAGGTTGGGTCTCACTGCCCCCCAGGGACCCCTTTTTGGCCTTTTCTATTGTGGCCATCAAAATTAGGGGTACAGGGAACTTAACTGCCAATAACTTTGGTATAAACCAACCAAAATTTAAAAACAAGGTATCAGCAGATTCGCATTGATTAGCTCTTCGATTAAGGAAATATCTGCTTGATGATGTCATCCGGGGGGTTCAAACGGTCAAACCCCAGCAGAAGATGAAAATTTTCATCTTTTTAGTCTGTGGGTTAGGGTGGGTCACCATGCACACCCCACTAATGAACTTCTCTGGTATTTTCATTTACCCGAAGGTCCACTCTTTCAAAAAATGCATGTTAACAGAAAAAGGTTGGGTCTCACTGCCCCCCAGGGACCATTTTGTGACCACACCCCTTTTCCATTGTGACCATCAAAATTAGGGAGACAGGAAACTTAACTGACAATAAATTTGCTATAAACCAACCAAAATTTAAAAACAGGATATCAGCAGATTTGTACTGACTAGCTCTTCGATTTAAATGACATTTCATTAAACAAATTTGCAAACAATGATGTCATCAGCAAGTCAAAAGGTCACAACCCCAACAGAAGATGAAAATTTTCATCTTTTTAGTCTGTGGGTTAGGCTGGGTCACCATGAACACCCCACTACTGAACGTCTCTGGTATTTTTATGTACCTTATGGTCCACTCTTAAAAAAAAAAGCATCTTAACAGAAAAGCATTTGGGTCTCACTGCCCCCCAGGGACTGCTTTTTGGCCACGCCCCTTTTCCATTTTGACCATCAAAGTTAGGTATATACAGGAAACTTAACTGCCAATAACTTTGCTATAAACCAACGAAATTTTAAAAACAAGGTATCAGCTGATTCAAATTGATTAGCTCTTCAATTTAAATGACATTTCCTTAAACAAATATGTGCTCGATGATGCCATCAGGGGTTAAAATTTCACTACCCCAACAAAATACGACAATTTTCATCTTTTTAGTCTGTGGGTTAGGGTGGGTCACCATGCACACCCCAGAACTGAACTTCTCTGGTATTTTCATGTACCCTAGGGTCCACTCTTTCAAAAAATGCATGTTAACAGAAAATAATTTTTGTCTCACTACCCTAAGGGACCGCTTTGGCCACACCCCTTTTCCACTGTGACCATCAAAATTATGGGTACAGGAAGCTTAACTGCCAATAACTTTGCTATAAACCAACCAAATTTTAAAAACAAGGTATTAGATGATTCATATTGATTAGGTCTTTGTTTTAAATTATGTTTCATTAAACAAATTTGCGCTCGATGATGTCATCGGGGGATTCAAGGTGTCACTACCCCAACAAAATATGAACATTTTCATCTTTTTAGTTTGTGGGTTAGGGTGGGTCACCATGCACATCCCATGACTGAATTTCTCAGGTGTTTTCATGTACCCTAGGGTCCACTCTTTCAAAAAATGCATGTTAACAGAAAAAAAGTTGGGTCTCACTGCCCCCCAGAGACCGCTTTGGCCACACACCTTTTCCATTGTGACCATCAAAGTTAGGGGTACATGGAACTTAACTGCCAATAACTTTGCTATAAACCAACCAAATTTTGCATACAAGGTATCAGCAGATTCATATTGATTAGGTCTTTGATTTTAATTACATTTCATTAAACAAATGTGCAAATATGTCATCAGAGGGTCAAAATGTCACAACCCCAACAGAAGATGAAAATTTTCATCTTTTATCTGAGTTTACAACACAGATCCTAAACATTCAACTTTCTTAGCCTGTTCATGCACCTAAAGATCCACTTATTCAGAAAAAAGTCTGTTTACAAAATTGAAGTTGTAAGTACTACTCCACAGGGTCCAGTTTTTGACCACACCCCTACTCATTGTATGCACAGTTCAGAATTTTCAGGATCTCAAACTTACATGTAGATTCACTATGGCAGAATAAAATGTCATAAATCTGGTGTTAAATGATAGTCGTGAATGATTGACGTGGTCTCTCACTTAGATGTGCTTTTGTTGATTATTTATGCAACAGATCATGTTGCCAGCCAGGAGTTAAAAGTAATACATAAGACTTGAACTTACTGAATCACTCACAGCAGAGTGAATCATCTCCTTCCCATTTGTCTCCAAACTTACCAAATCCCTCTTAGTAAGCCTCACTGTTTTGAAAGATCTTCATGCTTTTATTGCTTAAAGCGACCAAAAGACTGGAAATTGTTCCAATCAAATAAGGAAATGTTAAAAAAAATTAATGGACCAAGGTGGTCAGAACAAATGTCAGTATGTGGCTACAACTTAGGAAAATTCAATATCTGCATACATGTTACAGGGCTAACTCAATCCTTCTAACCAAAAATGTGTTCTGCTCTGCTAGTTCTACATGCCTACACAGAATGTGACAGTACAAGTGCCTTTAAAGGAAAGGGGAAAGTGAAAGGCATGAAGCGCCTTCAGAACAATGAGACTTACCAAGAAGCATTTGGTAGGTTTGGAGACAAATGGGACATAGATGATGCACTCTTCTGAGTGTGAAGTTTACTTGTGTTATGTATGGTATACTATTAGACATAAAGCTGTATTAAACTGATGCATTATTTTCTCCAATTTTACATTAATTCTTCTTTAGAATGGGTTGAAGTTCAAGCTAATCAAAGAATAACTCTGTGAAAGCCTTTCAGTTTTAACAAATACTTGTTTCTGAATGTTCACCAATGGTCTAATGTGTTACTTTTAACTCCTGGCTGGTGACATGGTCTGTTGCATAAATAATCAACAAAAGCACATCTAAATGAGATACCATGACAATATCTATCATTTAACACCAGATTTATTACGTTTTATTCTTACATGGTAAATCTACATATAAGTTTGAGATCCTGGAAATTCTGAACTGTGCATACAATGAGTAGAGGTGTGGTCAAAAACTGGTCCCTGTGGAGTAGTACCTACAATTTTTTTTTCATTAACAGACTTTTTTCTGAATAAATGGATCCTATGGTGCATGAAAAGGCTAAGTAAGTTGAACATTTAGGATCTGTGTGGTAAACTCAGATAAAAGATGAAAACTTTCATCTTCTGTTGGGGTTGTGACAATTTGACCCTCCGATGACATAACTGTTTGCACATTTGTTTAATGAAAAGTCCTTTAAATTGAAGAGCTAATCAATACAAATCTGCAGATACCTTGTTTTTAAAATTTGGTTGATTTATAGCAAAGTTATTGGCAGTTAAGTTCCCTGTACCCCTAATTTTGATGGTCACAGTGAAAAAGGGTTGTGGTCACAAAGTGGTCCCTGGGGGCAGTGAGACCCAACCTTTTTCTGTTAACATGCTTTTGTTGAAAGAGTGGACTCTAGGGTACATGAAAATACCAGAGAAGTTCCATGTGCATGGTGACTCACCCTAATCTACAGACTAAAAAATGAACATTGTCATATTTTGTTGGGGGTAGTGATACTTTGAACCCCCCGATGACATCATCGAGCGCATATTTGTTTAATGAAACATTATTTAAAACAAAGAGCTAATCAATATTAATCATTTGATACATTTTTTTTATTTGGTTGGTTTATAGCAAAGTTATTGACAGTTAAGCTTCCTGTCCCCCTAATTTTGATGGTCACAGTGGAAAAGGGGTGTGACCAAAGCGGTCCCTGGGGGGCAGTGAGACCCAAATGTTTTTCTGTTAACATGCTTTTTTTTTTTTTAAAAAGTGGGCCCTAGGGTACATGAAAATACCAGAGACGTTCAGTAGTGGGGTGTGCATGGTGACCCACCCTAACCCACAGACTAAAAAGATGAAAATTTTCATCTTCTGTTGGGGTTGTGACCTTTTGACTTGCTGATGACATCATTGTTTGCATATTTGTTTAATGAAATGTCATTTAAATCGAAGAGCTAGTCAGTACGAATCTGCTGATATCCTGTTTTTAAATTTTGGGTGATTTATAGCAAAGTTATTGCCAGTTAAGCTTCCTGTCCCCCTAATTTTGTTGGTTACAATGGAAAAGGGTTGTGGTCACAAAATGGTCCCTGGGGGGCAGTGAGACCCAACTTTTTCCTGTTAACATGCATTTTCTGAAAGAGTGGACCCTAGGGTACATGAAAATACCAGAGAAGTTCAGTAGTGGGGGGGGCATGGTGACCCACCCTAACCCACAGACTAAAAAGATGAAAATTTTCATCTTCTGTTGGGGTTGAGACACTTTTGACCCACTGATGACATCATTGTTTGCATATTTGTTCAATGAAATGTTATTTAAACCAAGGAGCTAGTCAGTACGAATCTGCTGATATCCTGTTTTTAAATGTTGGTTGGTTTATAGTAAAGTTATTGCCAGTTAAGCTTCCTGTCCCCCTAATTTTTATGGTCACAATGGAAAAGGGGTGTGGCCACAAAGTGGTCCCTGGGTGGCAGTGAGACCCAACTTTTTTCTGTTAACATGCATTTTTTGAAAGAGTGGACCCTAAGGTACATGAAAATACCGGAGAAGTTCAGTAGTGGGGGGGGGG